CAATAATTATCTCGGATTATCTGTTAGTTTAACTTTTCATTTACTTTTCCTTTCGTTAGTTTTCCTTAAAAGTGAATGTATTTGATATATATTTTCACAATTAATGTATGGCTTAGAGTAATGCGGAAGTGATCAGCGCCGGGAAGGATGCGCTCGACAAATATGGTTCGGGTTTGAGTTCCGTCCGCTTTATTTGCGGCACTCAAGACATACACAAAGCACTTGAGGCCAAAATCGCCAAATTTCACGGCCGAGAGGACGCCATTCTGTACGCCAGTTGTTTCGACGCAAACGCCGGACTCTTCGAAGCGCTCCTATCGGCTGAAGACGCCATCATTTCCGATGAGTTAAACCACGCGTCCATTATTGATGGCATCCGATTGAGTAAAGCCCAGAGATTTCGGTATAAACACAGAGATATGAATGATTTGGAGGACATTCTCAAGAATAATCAAAAGGCGAGGAATCGGTTGATAGCAACGGATGGTGTGTTTAGTATGGATGGAAATGTGGCGCCACTTAACAAGATCTATCAATTGGCCCAAAAATACAACGCTATTGTATTCGTGGACGAGTGTCACAGCACCGGCTTCTTCGGCAATACAGGCCGCGGCACCGAAGAGTTCTTCAATTTGAGCGGTAAAATCGATATAATAAACTCAACTTTGGGTAAAGCCCTGGGAGGCGCCGCCGGAGGCTATACTACGGGCAACAAAGAGCTGATAGATCTATTGCGCCAAAGATCGCGACCCTATCTGTTCTCCAATTCATTACCGCCAGCAGTGGTCGCCTCCGCCTCCAAAGTATTTGATTTATTGACACAAAGCTCTGCGTTAACCGAAAGAGTCAAACGAAACACAACTGTCTTCAGGACTGAAATGAAAAGTTTTGGTTTCAATATTTTGGTATTTATTTTCATGACTAATATAATGTCTCAAAAGATGATTATATGATTAAATTCTTGTCCCAAAGGGTGACGATCATCCCATTTGCCCCGTTTTTATCGGTGACGCCCGACTGGCCACTAATTTTGCTGATCAAATGCTCGGTATATTTAATTTAACAACTATTAAATATTGGCAAAAGTTGTGCTTAAATGTAAATGTATGTTTTGTATAGAGAATGGCATTTATGTGATTGGATTCAGTTATCCAGTGGTACCCAAAGGAAAGGCCAGAATTCGGGTTCAAATATCTGCCGCACATTCCGATGAAGACATCAAGAAGACAATCGACGCCTTCGTTAAAGTCGGACGAAAATTGCAAGTAATTTAATGCAAAGTATAAATGAGTTTGAATTTTCAGGTAAACTCTCCATATGAAACTATTTTATAATTAAACATCAATTGTTTGCATTTCAAGTTTACGTTAAATATAGTGTTAATTATAAGATATTTGATATATTTCTCTAATTACAGTCAAAACACATTAACTGTAATATTAATATTCAATATACGTAATACTGATATGTGAGATATGCGTGCAATTTATGGTTCAATTTACAATATATTCACACAATGTTTTAATTATAACTTTAATTATAAGTTAATTATTACTCAATACCCGATATATTGATATTTTTAAATACCACTCAAATTATTGTTATCATAAAAAATAATCGTTATTTCTCTTAAAAATCAATTTATTGTTATTAATACTTGAGTTTTAAATAAATTGTCATTAATTAAACATAAATTCAATAATAAAAATATATAAAGAACTCAAATCCTATATAAAAAAACAAATGAATTAATAAATGCCTAAATGAATGACAAAATGATTTATAAATTAATTATAATAATTATAAATTAATTAATACTAAACATAACCTAAAAATTTACTTAAACCTAATCGTCGTGTAGTTATTGGCTTTTCTTCTTCGCAATGGCTTTACTGCTGGCCTTCTCTTCCTTACCGGTCGACCACTTCTTCAAGTGTCCGAACCGTCGGTCCACCCATTCTTCGTGCTCTTTGTCCGTCCATTTCAT